AAAAAAAAAAAAAAAAAAAAATCAAAAAAAAAATTAAGAAAAAAAAAAAAAAAAAAAAAAAAAACCACCTTTAAAATACTTAATATTAAAAAAAAAAAAAAGAGGGAAAAAAAAGGAAAAAAAAATCAGTAGGAAAGCAGAAGGGCTCAAAGCGAAGCAAGCGTGGTGGTAAAGCACAGTCGTTGGCCTTGGAAGCCAATGGAAACCAAGGCTGCCATCTAGACACGGGTCTCTGCTGAAATGAACTGGGTGACCTCGGCTCAGTTTGGGGTTTGGTACGTGTGCGTGCCAGTAACAGCATGGCAGACCCTTCTCATGGGAAGCTCTGAAATGAGTGGGGGGAAAGAGGGTCCTGACATAGGAATCCTTCCAGATGAGGGATTGCCGGGCAGTCCGGTGTGAGCACAGAGGTTTGCAAGCAGAGGGCAGTGTTTCATGCTGATAGAGCTAAGCAAGGGCTCGTTCTTGGAGTGAATGAATGCATGGAAGAGAGTTAAAATGTCACTGTCGGTGTTCAGACCCTCGGGGAGGTCAGCTGCAGCCTGAGTCCCTGGAGTTCTGCTGCTCGGGCTTCCCCTAACATTCATTGGGCAGTGCTGGGAAGGCACCGTGCCGCCAGATGTTGCCCCAAGCATTGTTCCTGGAGAAGTTGGTCCATAGCTGGAGGTCAGAGCTCCTCGTACACGGGACGCAGTGGTCTCAGTGGAGGTAGGTAGGTTGGTTCCATCGGTACCAAGATCTGCGTGCGACACAGCGAATCAGAGCTACGATCACCATGAGGTCAACTTTTCCCCTCAAAACAAAAACCATTCCTATCCCACTTGCGTTCCTGCTCTTGGCAGCCAGCGAGTGCTCCTTTGCCCTGCAGGAAGCTCACAGCAAACCCCTCTCTTTCTGAGCAGCTGCCTGCACGGAGCTGCTGGTTCCCACACGTGGCTGCGGGGCTTCCTCTGCGTCAGCGCAGCTCTGAGTCATGGCACGGGGTGATCCGTGACTCAAAGCCCAGCAGCTACACTCAGTGCCCTCTGCTCTCAGCTGCCTTCCTCTGAACGCAGCATCCGTGATGTCACGTGCAGCGAGCGGCAGAAACCACGGGTGCAGAGGGCAGAGCAGCGGGGGCACAACCAGTGAGGTAATGAGGAAGGCTTGGAGCCTGGTGTGTAATGACATGCCATCGTGTGGCTCCATGTTGCTGGGCCCTCTGCAGGGCTGCATGCTCTGCCCTGAAGTCCCTCTGCTTTTCTCTCATCTCTACCTATGGGACTGAGCCATGTCTACCCCCACTCCACCTTACCCTGAAGAGTTGAAACCGGACGAGTTCATGGCAGCTTTGGAGTTGCTCTGGGCTGTGCTGGGGCTGCTGGCATGGAGGGCACTGCCAGGGGATGAAGGCCTGCTGGAGTTCCCTGGGGAACACGATGATGTTACTGCACGGCAGAGAGAGCAGAGTGAGGCTGGGATCTTCCCCTTCTGCCCCAGCCCCTCCAGCCTCCTGCTCCCACCCTGTGCTGGAGTGCCCTCCTTTGGCTGCTTGGTGTGCAGCTCCCAAACCTCAGCACCCTAATGGGGTTATCGTGGAGGTGTTAGCACATCCGGGAAGCTTTCCATGGCTTTGTTCCAGCCAAGAGAAAGGTTCTGCTCTTCTCACCCCTCAGACAACACTATGCTGGGCTACTTCCCCAGTGTTATCGTGGCCAGGAAGCCAAGTGGCCTGAGAGCAAGAGCAGAGGAGGGAGAGAAGGAATGGGAGTGAGGTGGTTTGTCATGTCAGGGCTTACCTGTCCCAGGCATGGTGCTGTGCACCGGGTTGACAGAGAGGGGCCCCAAGGACCCTGAGGTAGAGACCTGAGGAGGAACAGAGACAGGCGGTCAGCAGATGGCACTGGCAGCGTGGATCCCAAAGGGCCACTCCTTCACATTTCCTTCACAACATGCTGGCTGCCAGGCATGCTTCCTTCCCCCTCCTACACCTCTTCATACTCTATTGGATATGCACAACTCCCACATTCAGGGTCGTGCAAAGAAACCAGAGTGAGTATTAAACGTGCCTGATCTAAATGTATAGGTCAGCAGTAGGAACTGCTGCCCTCTGGATGCTCTCAGCAATGCCTCAGCTTGTTCTGGTCTCAGCACAAATAGCCCCATTTCCTTTGAGGAGCTCTTGATGGGCGAGAACTCTCATGTGAGTATTACTAATTTGGTGGCTGTAATCAAAGCAAGCCTGGGGCACCTGGAGTCCAACTGAGATACTTCAACTACAGGCAATGCGTTGGTCAGAGTGACTGATGAGCACTTTGCATGATGCATCCACAGGATAACCATCCACCAAAGCTGCTGCTTTAAGAGTTCGTGGCTCTCAAGCAGCATTTGGTGCTTGCAACTGTAGACCAAAGGGGTTGTGCAACAAGTGACCAAGCTTCTCGTGGTGTTTTTCTGCCTTCTAATAGGTAATTCCAAAACCCAAAAGATTTTCAGATAGAATATTGCTTATGAATACATCCTCTCCCTCCCACTCACATTCACTCCACTACCAGCACCATAGGGAGATTCCTGCCACTTTTACACACGCGAGCTCCTGGGCAAATATTAACCAGCAGAAATGCAATAGCAACTTGTTATCCAACAGAACACAGGATGTGTTTCCACTAACTCTCACAATTTCTTCCATCTTTCTTGGCAACAAAAATACTCTTGCCAAAATGGATGCGTGCAATAGGTGAGAAGGACAGATAACACCACTGAAGTGCATTCTGCATTTCTGCACGGATGGAAGTCGGCTCCTCAACCCCGAGTATCTCACCAGTCTGGAATTGTAGATGGGCGATTTGATGGGGGATGGCATTGGGCAGCTGATCCGTTTTTCTTTCTGGCGCCGGTTGCAGAACCAGACTCGAACCACCTCTTTTTCCATGGAGAGCTGCTCTGCTATCAAGGAGATCTCCTCTGAGCTGGGCTTGGGGTTCTGCTAAGAAATAGCAGGAGGTTAAAGAAGGCCCCAGAGATCTCTGACTTATGGCGTCAGTGCATTCTTCTGCTGCTGGACAAGGGTGGGGTGGGTTGTAAACTGGAGAGGGCAGAAAATTTGCTTCTAAGGCAAAAGGTAAACATTTGCATGAGAGATCACGTTCTGCGAACCAGACAAGCACCTCTGATTCAACATCAGATCCCATGGAATCAGCGGGGATGAGTCACAGTGCCTGGCCCTGCTGCTGCACAAAGCACGCAGCGCTTTGATCCCAGCACCACCTTCAGTTGTTGCTGGAGAGGAAGGTCATGGCTATTGGGCACAGCCCCGAGTGCTGTTTGTACATCCCTGCACCATCCCACAAAACCATTTCATCTCTTTTTTTCCCCCATCCCCCATTTATAAAGGTACCCCCATCCTCTTTTTTTTCCGACTCGTTCATTTTCTGGCACACTTGACAGCATTTAGTTCTGTGGTTTTTGATCTGAGTTGGAGACTTCAAGGGAAAAACAACCCAGCACGGTGATGCCAGGGCAGCTTTCCTGTTACAAAGAATACGTACCAGCTAAAAAATGAGCTGCCTGGAAAGACCTGAAAATGTCTGCCTTTTGTTCTCATCAACAATCTTAGAAGGAAAATTTGATGTGATGGAGGAAACAAGAAAAAATGAGGGCTGGTCAGAAAGAGTTTTAGTGAAAAATGTTCAATGGATTGATGTACCCCAACTGACTGAAAGCTCTGTAGTGATTTTTCTTGAAAACCTTCATGTTTAAGAAGTGAAAGGCTCCACTTTCCAAATGATTGGGCAGCACCCACAGTGGCAATGCTTGGCTCCTTCCTGCACCCACAGGAGCTGCCCGGCAGCTCCCAAAGAGAAGAGGGCAAGGAGGCATCTTCCCAAGCACGCTCCTAACCTGCCATCAGAACAAACAGAAAAATGGTGGAGAGCTCCCAACACATTGAAACATTCTCTCCTCACATCTTGGAATCTTTTCTCCAGCGTGGAGCGAATGTTGGTCTCAATGCTGGTTCGCTTCTTCCTTTTCCGTCCGAACATCTCGTTCACGGAGGGGTAGGAGCTGGGAGTGCTCATGGAGGAATCCAAAGGAGCAGATTCTGGGGAGAGAGAAAAGGGAAGATACCGAAGTTGTTTTCATTTCCAGCTCCTTTCTGGGAACTGTGGCACCTCGTAAAGTGAATGAGCGCATGGAACGTCACCTACCCGCGTCACTCAGCCACTTCTCCAGCAGAGGTTTGAGCTTGCACATGTTCTTAAAGCTGAGGTTGAGAGCCTCGAAGCGAGAAATGGTGGTCTGGCTGAAGTCGTTGCCATAGAGCTTCCCCATGGCAAGGCCAACGTCACCCTGCCGGGGAACATGACACAACACATTTGGAAGGGATATTCCAACTCCAAAGAAAGCAAATCTATACCTGCCACTGTATCTGCCATTCCTCCATCCATATACGCCCTTCCTCCACCCACCCCTCTGCCCCAAACTCCCCCCAGCCCAACGTGCTCCCATCTGAGTGACACCAGTGTTCCTCTAAAGGAAGCTGCTCACCTGTGTGAACCCCAATTTGATCCGCCTTTGTTTGAAAGTCTTAGCAAACTTCTCGAGCTCCTCCAGGTCGCTGGGCTCCTCGGATGCTCCGGATGGAGTGAGGTGCTTGGCCACTTGCAGGTGCTGGGGTACATCCAGGTGAGGTTCGACGGATGAGCCAGGGAGTCCAGAGCGACCCACAGCCTACAAGACAACCACAGAAATGCATAGAGACAACTTCTATTGCCATTCACCCGTAATAAAGCAGTGATTTGCACAGCAGGGTGCTTCCCAGGTGGCAGCATGGGATGGGGGAAGTTACCTGCGATGCCAGGCTGGGTCCTGGCTGGGAGAGGAGAAGGCTGCCCTGCTGCTGGGGGAAGGAAAGGATGTTGGGCTGCAAGGCTGGGGAGAGAAAAGAGAGACATCCCATCAGATTGACTCCTCTGTCAGCACCCAGGAGCAGAGCAGGGCCCCATGGGAAAGGCTCAAGAAGGTCTAAATGAAAAACTTCAGCTCGTGTTCACAATGCATGACTTCTAGGACTTTTGGCCATTACAAGTGGGAGCAGCTCCAAAGCGGATTACAAGACAGGAAAGTTTGGGTTTTGGTTGTGATTATTTCTTTCACTTCATGGTCTTTTAGGCCAAAAGGGATTATGAGAGTAATGATGTGGGTAAAACACTTCAGCCATTGATCCCTGCATGGAGCTCATCCACACCAGGTTCAGCTAGGACACAGACATCTTCTGCAGACATCTAAATTAGATTTTAGATGCCAAGCTGCAGAGAATTTATCACATTCTCAGTGGTGATCTCTGCTAGCACTTAATCACTGTAACTGCTGTGATAGTGCACCTTATTTCCAAGAGGAGCTTTGCTGACTCCAGCTTTCAGGTACTTGATCATGTTAGAAATATCCTGATCCCACAGTTAATCTCATGAACCTGCCCAATCTGCTCTCTACAACACATTTCATTTCCAAGTGCCACGTTGACCCTTTCTTTTCTCCCTTGCTCTATTTCAAACAAATTGAATGTCTTTTGGAATATATGTACGCTGACACGAGATGATGAAAGGAAAAAAGAAAAAGAAAGAGAGGAAATCTATAAAACTAACAAAAAGCAGTATTTATGGATGCCATGGAATTGTTCAGTTGACAAGTTGCTGTGCACAAGCCCATGCATCCTGCAGGGAATGTCCTAAAGGATTTAGTAGCAGCTAAAGCAGTGTAGTTCCACAGACATTTAGCTGGGCTCTTGATGTCTGCTGTGGGTGAAGTCGGAGGAAGTTAGCGAGGATTTACGGCCCTTCTTGAAACAGGCAATATTTTCTATTGATTGGAACTGACAATTATATGGAAATCTATAGACACTTATGGACTTGTGCTGAAAAAAGGGGAAAAAAAAGATCATCTCCAGAATCTCTCTTTCCCTCTCTCTCTCTCTTTCCTTTTTTAATTTAGATCTGAATGTGCAGGATCCCATTTATTTATTTAGATTGGGGCCTCAGTAAGCCTTCGTTAATGCTGGAACAACTTTGAATTTCAAATGCAGGCTGGTAATGAGGTGCACATTTTTAACAGAGAAGGTAATTAATCACAGGAATGGCTTGCCTAGGGACATGGCGGATGCTCTGTCATTTGGAGTCTTTAAAAACATGATTGAACACCTTTGCAAGAGCTGAGCTCTAGCTGAAATGAAAATTACGGACTGGGTTCAGGAATCACCGGTTTGACAGCTGATGAGACACAGGCTGTTTTCGTGAGATGAAGTCTTCAGCAGCAATATTTTGGCTGAGAGATTCCCAGCATCTCCCAGGCTGCTCGCTTCCACCCTCACCGCACACAGCTCCCTTCCTCTCATCCAGCATCCGGCTCTGCTGCCTGCAGGGCTGCGCACTGCACGATGAATCGGCCCTGGGAACTTCTCTGCTTTAAAAACACCTTGAATGCACTGAAATCAACCCCAAACCTCTTGCAAAGGTTAAAGCCACAACCAAGACCCTTTGGCCATGAAATGCATGACCTGATGTACCCAGCGGTCAGAACTCGGGATGTATGGAGGATGTACGGCCTGAGGGATGCCTTCAGGTCTGCCCCTGCATCACCCTCACCAAGCTTCTCCTTGCACCAAACCCAGCTGTGCCTCCACTTTCGCTCTCCAGTGGCTGTGCCTGCACGCAGCAGAGGGTCATTAACGCTTGACAATCATCTATTCAAATGGAAGTGCTCTTGCACAACACGCTGGCCACACGCCAGAGCATCCTGTCTCCATCGAGTCTGGAAGCAGAAGGGGTCACAGCCAAACAAGTGGCCATCTGTTGGAAGGGCTGCAGCTGCCAGAGCAGCCTGCTTAACAGCAGAAACCGTACCTCTATCAAAGGAAGCAAAGTTCTGTTCTCCAGCATCGTGTGTTTCTTATTATATACGAATAAAACCAAGCGGTGAGCAATAGATTGTCCCAGCCTTGCCAGCTCCAATAATCTAAATTCTGGGCTGCTGTCAAATGTACATCTATTGTCAAACATACATCAGAGAGTTTCTTGATGCATCACTCAGCACCACTTGGCAGAGTGAAGATAAGAGACAGGCTTCCCACTTGCCCACAGTATAATGCTTTTTCAGAGCTGTGTGTGTATGGCTGCACTCAAGCTGCAGACCTTTTAGGGTTTCAGTCCTGAGTTCTGGCTCGTGCAGAGGGACTTCTGTGCTGGAATAAATAGGAATGAGAAGAAGGGCCCAAACCCCTTTGCATCTGGCAGGCTGGGGGCTATGCCTGTCCACAAGCAGCATAAGCTCCATCAATGGCACGTCTGTGTGGTGCTTGTTGGAGGAACACCACCCAAATACCGGAGATAAAGACAACGCCAGGAGGACCTGCCCAAGCACTGGGTTAAGCCCTCAGTCCTTTCTCTCCTCACAGACGTCCCGGCCCCACGGATGGAGCAGGATTTGGGGCGGCCCCCAGGTGGCACTCGAGGAGCGCACAGCGCAGCGCCGATCCTTCCGAGCGCCGTCCGCGGGTGGAAACCCCACGAGAGACGGGGAAACCCATCTGGTGACAGAGCATCGGGCTGAGGAAACCCAGCGGTGCGGGTTAAAAGCGACAGGAGGGAGAAGGGAGGGCTCTTCCTAAGTAGGGATCTGCTGACGGCAGAGCTCCTTTCGTTGCTCTTACCTTGCTGCCCTGCCTGGGACTGGGAGAGGAGGAACTGAGGGACGGACTGCATGTGGCCGGGAAGCAACACGAGCTGCTGCAGGGTGTGGAGAGAGCTCATATCCTACGGGAAAAGCAAACAACAAAGTCCAGAGATGTCAGTTCTCTGCATAGCATCACCTCTCTGTGAGGTTCCCCACTCCCCGATCTTTCACGCTGCCCTTGACCCCGTTCACACTTCTCATTCAATTGCTGGCACATCTCATATGTGTCCTTTGTGCACAGCAGAGCTGCAGGTCCAGAGCTGCCCCAGGATCTGAAGGTTTCAGCCTGCTAAGAAAAAATTCCATGCACACACTGACATCCACGGGGAGAATGTGTGCTTCTAACTGAAAAAAGTTAATGCTTGAAAGACATTTTTTGAGGGAGTGGAAATCAAAACCTGCTTGTCAGAAGCAACAACAACCCCCCTTGGATCTCAGCTACTCACAGACATCGTATTTTTCAGAATACACCCCCTAAGATCACACAGACTGTCCCATCCCACCAACGCTGAGCTGCTTTGTGCAGGAGGATGGGCTCCTCACCAGCACTGTGATGGACACAGCCATCAAATCCCAATGTGTTTTCTGTTCTTTGCCATGTATCTGCTGGGCTTTCCCCACTTTGCTCTGAACAGAGCAGGCAATAGGGACTGAGAGATGCTGAGAATGCTTCTTCACATTACTGGGGTCCCTACATCATTTTTAGGGATTAGGGAATAAGAGTTGGCATTTGTTTAGGATAGAGAGGAAAATGCCCCAATAAGACTCAATCACTTTAGAAAAAAAAGTCCCTCAAGGAATAAATGTGTTTCCTGGTGTACATCAATAGGAGCAGACAGGTACCAAGTTGGCTATGCTGGTTCAGATTAAAAGTCACTCTAGTCTAGGATGATAACTCCAGTGATAGCATTAAGCAGGCACTCACAGGAACGAGGAAGGCAAAGGCAAACATATCCAGCACTTTGCCTTGGTATTCCCCTTGGTCCAATCATTTTCAGCTCAAGGGATTTCCTGAGCACAGTGTGATTTTCCTTAGTAAACCCTCAACACAAATCTCTCCCAAGCACACGTCCAGTCTGCCTCTGGATCCATGTCAAATGCTCTGCATCCTTTGGCACGGCATTACACAGACCTGCCGAAAAGAGGCTGAGGAGGACGTTGATTTGTGCCAGCACAGATTCACTTTTGTGATTCAGTGTCTATCATATCCTCACGTCTCCTTTTGTCACTGCCAAAAGATGTATTGAGTTTGGCAAGTGCCTCAAAAACAGCCCTTCCCTTGGACATGCTTGACCCCTGGTGCAGCAAAGGCACTCACCCCTGCAATCTGGCTTCCAGGCATCATTGAGGATCCCTGTACAAGGTGTCCTGACCTGGGGGGGATTGTAGATTGCAAGGAGTCACTGAGGTCTTCAGTTTTAATCTGGAAAAGAGCAAAGTGATGCTGGCGTTAGGGGACAGACATGGAGAGGTTAGGAGCTGGAGATGGGAGAGATGGGGAAGGGATGGCTGTGGGACAGGGGGGGAGAGGTCTGGACCCACTGCTTCCACCCCTGGCTGGGTCGTTCCCCATTTCTGCTCTCCAGTTTACAACACATTGTTTTCTGCTCTGCCAAAACCAAGGGGGGAGTTTGCTCAATTAAAGCGCATTAATTAAAACACTTTAGGAAGTTTCCAGCGACTTAGCAGGCTTTAAAGCTTCCCTCACACCAAACATCGAGGTGTTCTGTGGTGTTATTAGGAAGACACAACTATTTCCCTCCATAGACCACGACTCACAGCCCTATATTTGCTGTGGGCAGCCTCACGCTTTTCTCTGTAGGCAGCATCGAATGGAGAGCAGGAGAGGGAAGGTTATGAAGGGGAAAGACCTCAAAAAGCAGCGTAATCTTCCAGATTTGAAAATGCACCAGCCTTGGCACTAAATGTACCAAATGATGAGAAAACAGCAAGAAACTGGGAGGTCCCACTGTACTGGATTGGCAGAGAAGTCCTTAGAATGAGCTGTGGGAAAAAATGCCAGTGGTCATTTAAACCTACGTCCATCTCCAAGACAGATTTTGTTCTACAAAGATCACAGTTTATGAATCCACTTTGTTAAGAATTTACCCAGGAGATAAAAATGTGAGGACTGAATACTTTTCACCTGGTTTACTGCAGAGTTTCCACGTTCATTTCTAATATTGCTTCTACGTGCAATGATGGGAACGTTTCGTCATTTCACATTAGCTGACAGGTTTTAGCAGGGAGAGAAGAGGGGTGGATTTAGAACTTTATGGGTTAATTCCTGAAAGCCGAGGAGCATCTACGTGCAGATGCTGTATGCAAGAAAACATCATTTAGATCTCATATAATACATTTTCTCTAAGGAAAGGTACAAGCAAACAGATCCCAGATTTTGGATTAAGTTCTTGCTGAGTGTGAGAGCGCTCAGACCAAGGCTCATCTCAACCATCCCCGTCCTAATCTAAGGCAGTGCAAGAGGCTCCCGTTCCCACAAACTGGAAAAACCAGGAGAAAACCTGAAAGGACATGTCTTGAAGACCTCATCCACAGCCTCAGCATCGCAGATTCACTCTTAGTACCAGGGCTGCATCTTCCACGTCCCATCAACCGGCCCCTAACTCAACGCTGCCCAAAAGCAGAGTGGGGTCACTTTGCTGGCGCTGTGCTGTAGGTGATGCGGCCTCCAACCAGCAGAGGGGAGCAAGAAATGTCCCTTCTAAAGACCGTGGCACAAGCCAGTACTTTTGGCCTGAAGGGAGTTTTCACTTCAGTTCGAGTCAAGCAAACAAACGCACAACATTCCCCAGCGAGAGAAAGAGAAGATGCGATCGCTACAGCTGCAGTGCTGGGAGACCCAATAAACATTTTGGAAAGGGCTGTGAGGAGGGAACAGAGTTACAACACCTCCCTTCATTACAACTGCAGCTCTGGATGCTGCCGAAACTCGTTTTGCAATCACAGGAGCTCCTTGCGACAAGAGCTGTACATGCTATGAATTCCAGTTCTTTCCTACCTCTCAGGTTGGCATGATCATCCCGCACGGCCTGGCGAAAAAAGTCAGATGGAGGAGCTTCTTGATTGCTATCGACGCGAGTTGTGTTTAAATGACTGAATTAATGGTAGCGAAAGGCTCGGCAGGTCACCGTTACCCTTGAGCCATCCGCTCGGCGGAGGGAAGTGGCTTTTTGTATTTTTCCTTCCCTGAGGGTGCGTTAAAAAAAAAAAAAGAATAAAAAATAATAATAATTAAAAAAAAAAAAATTGTCCGGGCCAAAAAAAAAAAAGGTAAAAAATAAATAAAGAAACGTCAGCCCTGCTGGCAATCCATGGGTCGACCCAACGCGATGCGATCATCCAAGTCCAAACAGTCCCAAAAAAAAAAGAAAAAAAAAAAAATTGTCTCAGAAAACGAGGTGCTGGATCCCGCCTGGGTGATGATCCCAACGGCAGCCGAGTGTTGAAGAAGCACGAGCCATTTCCAAACTGAAATCAATTTTTACAGCTGCCAAGCGGAATGATCTGGAAGCTTTCCAGGCTGAAAGGGGTGTGTAGCTGCATCCCGGCATCGCGCAGTATGAGAACGGGAGGTGGGTTTGGCAAAGGACCGGTTCCCCATTTAAAAACAACAACATCTCCCACTGCTCCTTCCCCCGTCCCTGGAATTCTCTGGCTCTCTCCTGCGCAGTGGGCGGGATCCTGGGTGTTCTCGACAAATCCTCCCGTGCACCTTTTTTCATTGGTTTTAGGCTCAGTTTTACTTCTCCCTCCTCTTCCTCTCCCCACCAGGCCTGCAGCTGGCTAATTGTTCATTAGCGAGAGTTCGGGGGATATCCAAAACTTTCGGGTTGGTTTATGCAAATCCTTCCCTTTTTTTTTCCCCAGCTCAACCAGCACTATTACCAACCGTACGTTAAAGAACCCAAACCAAACCCCCCCCCCAAAACCACACACATTGTGGGTGCGGCCACTCGAAATCATGAGACTCCCTTAAAATCGTGTTGATTTCAAACTAATAAAACCAGGGGAGGTGTTGTCTTCTCCTTTCCCAGAGCATCCGACCCGTGTTTGCAGGTATTTTCTACAAACATGAGAGCTTCCCTTAAGAAACCATAGGGGGTTGAAATTGTCATGGGGTCACCCTATGTTGGCATTGGCCAAGCTCCACGCTACAGCATGGCAAGACAGCAGTGGCTATTTAGCTGAAGTCAGGACCAGTTCTTGCTGTTTTTCCCCAACGATGACCATGGTCAGAATGGGAAGAACCAGCATTTCTTCCCATTGACTTGGATTTGGGGAAACTGCACTCTGCCAGGCTAAGTGACCCGGTAGGAGAGCGGGATGAGATCAAACAGCACGAAGCTCCCTGCTCGCTGTTGGGTCCCTGCCCCGGGCTGCAGCAGGTAACGGCAGGCGGCACCCGCATGCACAGCTCCTTTGGAGAGAGGAATCACACTTGCAAATCTCAGGTGGATGTTTTCACAGCCTTAAAATAGGGTCAGCTGCCTCCGAGCAACGCGAGCGAAAAAACACAGGAAGGGTGACTGGAGAAAGGAGAGTCCCTTCCTTCATTTGGCGAGCACGCTTGCTGGGCATGGCCAATGATGGATTGTTTCTTGCCTATCTCTAGCCCGAAAACAAAAACAAAAAGCAAAACAAACTAAGAAACATATTGAGGGCGATGGAAAATGATCAAAGCTCTTCGGCTTGCTTGCGTAACTGATTTGTGGATGGTGTTTCATAAACATTTCATAAGAAGGAGAATTATGAAGAAAACATCTCCCAACCTGCCTGCAATTACTGCACAAACTCTTCCTTACCAGTAGGAAGAAGGGAAGGAAAAAAAAATAAAAGAAAAAAGTACATCTGTTTTGTAACTGATCTGTGAACTTTTGGCAAACATTCGGCTCGTGAAAACATCCTGCAGACATATTGCAAAGCTGCACGGAGCTGGCCTTACACAAGGAAGTTGGAGAGATTCACATTAGCAGCTCCGGTCTCAGCACGTGGAAGGCCGTACCCTTTCAAGAGACAGACAGACAGACGGACGGAGCGAGCCACGTGCACGGCTGGCAGCAGGATGCCATTGGTTGGACAGAGCTCTGGCTGCAGCTCCTGGCATCCACCCAGCACCAGTGCCAAGGTTGGCTGGCGGTGCTGCACGCTGCCTCAATTAGCACTTCAGGTAATGAACAACAAGCAACCGGCTGTGGCTCCTTGACCAGAAAGAAGCTAAGCATGTACTGCATGTTGGCCATCTGCATGCTGGCCATCTGCATGGCTCGTCCTTGCCCACCAGGCAGCCCACACACAACCCCAAGCCACCTCCTATGGGAGAGCATTGGTAGGACACAGCACCACTCCATCCTCCTCTTTGCACAGGTGGGACTGAGCGATTCAGCCCACCCTGGGATGCTTAACCCACATCGAGATAAAAGCTGCCCCAAAAGCCACACCAGCCTTCCCCAGCACCGGGCAGAAGCTGCGGTTGTTCTTTCAGGGCTGAAGACAACTGTACGTGTTGGGTAGTTTCTATTTAGCCAGTCACCTCTTTGAAACAGGTATTTATCTGCCCTCGTATCTGGCTTATCTCACAGTCAGCAATTCACGACTGTTTAAGCCTTTGACTTACACGTATTCCTCCTGCTACAGCTGCAGAGAGGAGTGGGGATGGCTGCTGGGGCACACTGAGCTTCAGAGGGTCTGAGCCACTTGCCCTCCACCTAAAAGGAGCAGCACATTTCTTCCCGGGCTGAATCATTTCCCAAGTGCCATTTCCTACAGCAGCATTGCCTGAAATCAAGGGAAGACGCCTTATGGTAGAACCAGATATCAGAACTGCATTTGGAGCTACTGCAGCTTGCCAAGCCTTCCCATGGTGTCAGCATGCTTCTTTGTGAATTACCTGCACATGTGGGCACCATAAAATGAAACACACACTAATAATAAATTATAGCAATAAGAATAATGGGCTTGCAATTACTATTTCCACGTCTGCTATCCTGCACACACAGTAAGGCTTAACAGACACTGGGAAGAAAGCAGAAAACTCCAACATTAATACAGCAGCATCCCCCCTATAAAATTTGACATCCTCTCACACCAAAGGGTGGGATCTTTAGGAGCTGTCAGCGTGACAAAAGCAGAATTAATCCCACGCTGAATGCCTACAGATGACATCCTACTGCTCAGTAATGACAGCACACTGAAAAATTAAAATGTAATCCCTAACCTCAACACACCTGCATCAGAGCTTTACGAGGCCTTGGTGCTTATTAATTGAGGTCGGATCTGATATGCTTTAACCCTCTGAGCTTCAGCTCAGGACACTCATGGCTGTGCCACGGCTGCAGTAAAAGCAGGGGTGGGAAATCAAAGCTGAGCATCACTGAGATGTGAGCCCCACAAAGGGGAACTGAA